GGTCCCCTACACCAAGTGGTATGGGAGTGCGCCTGCAGTCAACATGCTGAGAACTTATGGCTGCATGGTGGTGTTTCGTGTACCGAAGGAGAAGAGGGGAAAGTTGGAAGCTTCTGGGAGATGGGGTGTGCACTTGGGGCTTGCCAAGGACCACAAGGGCTGGTTGATATGGGACTTGACGAGCCAGCAGCTGACTATATCAAAGGATGTGAAGTTCCTTGAATCCTTGTACTATAAGGAGTGGAAGCAGCAGCAACAAAAGCTTCCTACTACACCGCTGATCATTGAGGCCGATGAGGTGCAGCGGCCTTCGAGACAAGTGCAGGTCACTGTCTTAGAGGAGGAGATTTTTGGGGTGACTGAGGATGGGGGAGAACCTGAGGTGGAGGAGCAGCAGCAGCCGCAGCAGCAGCAACAAGGTGCTCCACAAGGTGCCGCACGTCCAGCTAACCACATACGGCCTGACATTGCCTTTGCTACATCCAGGCTTGCAAGTGTGGTTTCACGCCCCAGTCATGAGCAGCTGGAAGCGGCCAAGAGGTTGGTCCGCTATGTGAGCGCTACGGCATCAGTGGGCTTGGAGTACAGTGCTGTGCGGCAGAGGCTGCAGAGGGGTGCAGCTGATTTGGGCAAGGGGGAGATGCTCCTGACCTGCTACACCGACGCCAGCTTCAACTATGTGAAGGCGGATGGCACCAGCATTGGAGGCTATGTGTGCCTGTTAGAAGGTGGTGCAGTGAGCTGGCGCAGCAAGAAGCAGAACGAGGTGGGGCAGTCCTCGTGTGAGACAGAGTACATGGCCCTGCATCATGGAGCGAAGGAGGTGGTGTGGCTGAGGCGTTTGTTGGAGGAGATCGGAGTGTGCCAGAGGGAGCCGACTGTGATTTTCTGTGACAATGAGTCGGCGGTGAAGCTAGCGAAGAATGCTTGTCTTCATGGGCTGACCAAACACATCAGGCCTAAGTGGCACTGGGTGAGGAGGCTCCTGGACAAGGAGGTGTGGCTGGAGATTGTGAAGACCCATCAGCAGGCGGCTGACATTCTCACCAAGCGCCTGGCTGAATCTGAGCATTGGAAGGGCATGAAGCTTGCTGGGATGAGTATGCATTGAGGATGCATGCTTGAGCTATGGCATGTGGGATGATGGTTGGCAGCCAGAGGGGGAGTTTGTTGTGTGATGCAATCATATGCATTCACATCTGTCTGCCTCCCATCATGTGTTCGTGCGCTGCATGCGTGGTGTGAGCATGTGTAAACATTTGTGTTTTGTGCGGTTTGGTTTTTCTGAGTGTGTGTGAATGTTATTTGGATTGAGCAGATATCTGAAGTGACTCCTCTGCTCAAGAGCTTTCCGACGAACCAAGTATCGCTTCAATAGGAGCACGAACAAGAAAGTTACGAACGTTGGAGTTCGTATGCTTTTCATATTTGATTGTGGCAACTGTGGGAAGTTGTGGGGTTGACTCAATATGGGGTACAGACTTTTGGGGGTTGAGAAATTCGTCTTTTCTACTGTAGTTACTGCCAAATGGTTGGGAGAAACCAAACCAGGCTGGCAAGTGTGGCCAAGTTGGGTTGAGGTGGATTGTGGAGGTTGGGATAATGACAAAGGTCAAAGTTGGGTTGCCTATGGGGAAGGGAATTGTGTGGCATAGAGTTTCCTTGGTTGGGGACTCTATTGGGACCTTCCCTCTCGTCCTCCTCATCCCTTCCACCTGGTTTAGTGCTACTCTAATTCTCTTGTGCGAGACTCTTGTGATTGAGTTAAGTTCTTATGGCAGCATACCCCCCTGTGCGCCGAAATTGATAAGTCGAGATTTACTTCACCTCTTGATACGAATCAAATTGGGAATTGTAGCCACGGAATAGGGCTACATCATATCTGAGTTTGGTGAAGTTTTGACAATGAAGTTTTCGTCGACGGCGTTTCTTGTGAGCGCGACTATTCTGTCCAGAAATAGAGACCAACGATTTTGAGAAATTTAGGCACCTAATCTTCATAGACTCCGTCCTTAGTCTCTAACACCGCCGTCCTTCAAGATCACTGGGTTGACACCTTTACTCCTGGAGGACAGCGTGTGGCGATCTGCACTTGCTCTACGACCAGCCGCCACCTGGCCACGTTCACACGTGCGCCTGGGTCCAGTCTATACACCCTCACCACTGCGTCGCGGTCCAACCCTTTGTCTCCTCAGCTGTACGCGTCCGCTCAGGTAGCTACCCGGTGTGAGTGTCGCAGCCTGTCGCACCAGACTCTCCTGTGGCACCACCGCCTTGGTCACCCCTCCCTGCCTTGCCTTCGTGGCATGCACTCTCACCACAAGGTGAGACCATCCGCCCACACACTTTGAGGTGCATGCGTTAGAGACGCTCCGCCCTCGGACCTTGAGGTGCATGAGTTAGAGACGCTCCGCCCTCGCACCTTGAGGTGCATGAGATTGAGACGCTCCGCCCTCGCACCTTGAGGTGTATAAGTTAGAGACGCTCTGCCTGCGCACCTTGAGGTGCATGAATTAGAGACACTCCGCCCGCGCACCTTGAGGTGCATGAGCTAGAGACGCTCCGCCCGCGCACCTTGAGGTGCATGAGCTAGAGACGCTCCGCCCGCGCACCTTGAGGTGCATGAGCAAGAGACGCTCCGCCCGCGCACCTTGAGGTGCATGAGCAAGAGACGCTCCGCCCGCGCACCTTGAGGTGCATGAGATAGAGACGCTCCGCCCTCGCACCTTGAGGTGCATGAGATAGAGACGCTCCGCCCTCGCACCTTGAGGTGCATGAGATAGGGACGCTCCGCCCGCACACCTTGAGGTGCATGAGTTAGAGACGCTCCGCCCGCGCACCTTGAGGTGCATGAGTAAGACACGCTCCGCCCGCGCAACTTGAGGTGCATGAGTAAGAGACGCTCCGCCCGCGCACCTTGAGGTGCATGAGTTAGAGACGCTGCGCCCGCGCACCTTGAGGTGCATGCATTAGAGACGCTCCGCCCGCGCACCTTGAGGTGCATGCGTAAGAGACCCTCCGCCCGCGCACCTTGAGGTGCATGAGTTAGAGACGCTCCGCCCATGCACCTTGAGGTGCATGAGTTAGAGACTCGCTCCTTGAGGTGCATGAGATAGAGACGCTCCGCCCTCGCACCTTGAGGTGCATGAGTTAGAGACGCTCCGCCCTCGCACCTTGAGGTGCATGAGATAGAGACGCTCCGCCCTCGCACCTTGAGGTGCATGAGATAGAGACGCTCCGCCCTCGCACCTTGAGGTGAATGAGTTAGAGACGCCCCGCCCTCGCACCTTGAGGTGAATGAGTTAGAGACGCTCGGCCCTCGCACCTTGAGGTGCATGAGATAGAGACGCTCCGCCAGCGCACCTTGAGGTGCATGAGTTAGAGACGCTCCCCCCGTGCACCTTGAGGTGCATGAGTTAGAGACGCTCCGCCCGTGCACCTTGAGGTGCATGAGTTAGAGACACGCTCCGCCCGCGCACCTTGAGGTGCATGAGCTAGACACGCTCCGCCCGCGCACCTTGAGGTGCATGAGTTAGAGACGCTCCGCCCGTGCACCTTGAGGTGCATGAGTAAGAGACGCTCCGCCCGCGCACCTTGGTGTGCATGAGTAAGAGACGCTCCGCCCGCGCACCTTGAGGTGCATGAGTAAGAGACGCTCCGCCCGTGCACCTTGAGGTGCATGAGTTAGACACGCTCCGCCCGCGCACCTTGAGGTGCATGAGTAAGACACGCTCCGCCCGCGCACCTTGAGGTGCATGAGTTAGACATGCTCCACCCGCGCACCTTGAGGTGCATGAGTAAGACACCCTCCGCCCACGCACCTTGAGGTGCATGAGTAAGACACACTCAACCCGTGCACCTTGAAGTGCATGAGTAAGACACGCTCTGCCCGCACACCTTGCGGTGCATGCGGAAGAGACGCTCCTGTTATATTCACTATAGGCTTCAATGTGCCTAAAACGAAAGATAGAGTGCACAGTCGGATTTCTGCACAGCGACTTCAATCATTCATAGCGGTCCGATCTCGGCTCCAAATCACATGATTCAACTTGGATCTGGAGCTTCGTAACGTCACCTACAACAGGCAATTTAGATTGCACGATTTCATTCAGAATTGTCGACACAGCATCGGTTTGAACGAACGGCACTATGGGAGCAACATAGTCTTCGAACACACAATAAGGAAGAGCTAGGAAGAGTTACGAGTTGGGAAAGACTCCCAGCTCCTAGAAACCCCAAGAGCCGAGGTACGGTGATGTGGAACAGTGCCACACTGTCCCCAACCAAGAATGGTCTCGAAACTACCCTCCACAAGGGCCAACACCCAGGGAAATATTACACTACACATTGTAATGCAACCATTCTCAATATCTTGAAGTGTACCCTTTTTGGCGAGCTTCGAAATCACTTGAAGCTTGAGACCAAGGCTCGGGCTCTTCATCACAAACTCATCCTTGAGTTCTTGATGGGTCTGCTGCACACATCTACGACACGCCGAACGTTTGACACAGAACAAAATAAAAACCGCGTACGACAACATAGAAACCGCGCGAGACACACAAAATGACAGCGTAACATGCAACTCGCTATTGACTCGACACACACACACTCGACATCATGACCCATCATACACACACTATTATAAGCATGAAATATACATTTATTTCATGCACTCATATCATTCCATGCACACACGCATACACGCACATGGACAACAAGCCGAGTGCAAACCGTAGGGTTGCACCAACACCTCTGCCCGCGCACCTTTAGGTGCATGCGTTAGACGCTCCACCCACCCACCTTGAGGTGCATGCGTTAGAGACGCTCCGCCTACGCACCTTGAGGTGCATGCGTTAGAGACGCTCCACCCACGCACCTTGAGGTGCATGAGTTCGAGACGCTCCGCCCTCGCACCTTGAGGTGCATGAGTTAGAGACGCTCCGCCCTCGCACCTTGAGGTGCATGAGTTACAGACGCTGCGCCCTCGCACCTTGAGGTGCATGATTAGAGACGTTCCGCCCTCGCACCTTGAGGTGCATGAGTTAGAGACGCTCCGCCCTCGCACCTTGAGGTGCATTGAGTTAGAGACGCTCCGCCCTCGCACCTTGAGGTGCATGAGTTAGAGACGCCTGCTGGTCTTGTATGACATGCAGTTAACCAGGCATTCTCATGCATGCCCTCTCCATACTCTCATCTTTCCCCAACCACTGACCAGGCAAGAGCAGCACGTTTGTCCTCACGCGCGTCACAGCCGTGGTGGACACGGGCGGTGGGCTCGTCACCTCCTTCTCCTCGTTGCCCGTACCAACCACCCTGTACTCTCTGTCCCTCACGTCCGTGTTCCTGCTGCTGCTGCAAGCGGTGTACGTGTTGGCGCTGCTGTGGAACGGGGTGGAGGAGGCGGTGGAGCTGCAGGGGCGAGTGAAGAGGGAGGGGTCCGTTCTCAGCTACTTCCATTCAGGCTGGAATTGGATCAACATGGCCTTGCTGCTCCTGCAGTGGCTCGCTCTCATCACCTGGCTCGTGCTCTGGCGGGCAGTGGGGGCCAATAACATGGACCCGCAATATGACATTTATGAGTCGCTGCTGGAGGTGCCACGGTACTGGCAGGTGGCGGGGAGTGGAGAGGGGTTCCAGGCGGCCATGCATGAGTACGATGACCTGCAGGCGCTCATCAACTGGCGCTCCTTCTACTTTGCCCTACAGGGCGTCAAGTGAGTTGGCTGCTCTTGTTGACCTGCCGGGTCAAGTTATTCTGGCTTCAATAAGGCTACTGCTTCTCTCTTTTTTTTGTTTGTTTTTTTTCATTCTTTTCTTTCATTGATTCATTCTTTCTTTCCTTCCTTTTTTTTTTATTCTTTCTTTCTCTCATTTCCTTTCCTGCTTTCGTGTAGTTCTAATGTTAGAGTGTCCTGCCCTGATCCCAATGCCTACACTAAGAAATTTTTCCTCTATCCCCCCCTTCTGATCTCGTCTCCAGCCTCTTCTTCCTCATGGTGTGGCTGCTCAAGCTGATGGACTTTCAGCCCTATCTGAGCGTCATCACACGCTCCCTCGCCCTCGCCATGCCCCCGCTGCTATACTTCGTCCTTCTCGCCTTCGTCGTCTTCTTCTGCTTCTCTCTGTACGGCTACCTCGTCTTCGGCGGCAAGATGGAGCAGGTGATCCATTTAGGCAAGAGGGAGCAGGTGATCCATTTAGGCATGAAAACTTCTCTTTCCTTCCAAGAATTCTACCATCATTCCCGTTTATGCCTTCAGGGGATCGGCTCACGTCCCCCCCCTCCCTCCTTTTTTTTTATATATTTTTTTTATCCCACGCGAATCCAACTTGTGTAATTTGCCACGCTGCCCGACGCGCCGTTCGCATGTTTTTTTATCATCCTGAACAAGAATGCAACGACTTATTTCTTCGTGCACATGCACGGGTGGGACGTGGTGGCGGGCATGCTCTTCTTCATCGCCTTCATCCTCCTCCTCATCTTCATCCTCTTCATCTTCCTCATCGCCATCATCGTCGACGCCTTCATGACCATCAAGTTCAGTCGCCCCTTCACGCTGCCATTTCTGGTCTCGTGTTCTTTTCTTGCTCTCGTATTGTCATCCGAGCCCTCTTCTCATCACACTCGTCCGCTCTCGTCCCTTCGCCCTACCTCGCCCCTGGCACCCCCCTTGCCTGCCGCCACCAGGAGACCCAGGAGCTGGCGACATCCATAGCGGAGGACGTGGGCACCATCGTGTGCTACCTCTTCTGCCGCCTCACGGGGCGCTACGCCTCCTACTCCTCAATCCTGCACTGCTTGAAGCAGCTCGGCGCTCGCGACTTCACCGCGGACGAGGCGCAGCGGCGCATGCAACGGTACCAGTCGCTGCAGCGCCGGGCCAAGACAACCGTGATTCAAGGGTTCTGCGGGAGGAAGGTTGCGGAGGTGGAGCGAGCCAAGATGATGGCGACAAGTGGGGCGGGGGCGGTGGCGGCGCGGCAGAGGGTGCTGCAGGTGAAGGGGCAGAGCATTGATGACATCTCCCTCGCCATGATCCTGCAGCGCTGCCACTCCACACAGGTGCGTTGGGCGGGCCTTCTGAGGGCGGTTGTTTCATGAAATAAGCGCTTTCCCTGATTAGCTGCAGGAGTGAGTGACACTTGGAACGCACGCCAGTTGTTCGCAACCGCTTTTGTGCTAGCTGATCCTAACGCACTCTCTCCCACTCTGCTCTGCGTCACCAGGTGCTGCCGTACTCGCCAACAGGCGGCCCAGACCAAGAGGAAAGCGTGACTAGTTCGGCTCCTGCTGTGGAGGAACTTTCTCAGCTGCTTCTGCAACAGCTAGGGGAGAATGAAGCCCTTTTCACCACACCAAAGCCACTCAGCAAGCCAAAGCCGGGCCTGCACCAGATCCAGGTGTGCTGGCTTCTTCTTCTGCTGCTGCTACTGTTGCCGCCGCCTCCACCGCCGCTTTTGCTGCTGCTGTTCTTGTGTCACTCATGTGTATCCCTGCTACTGTGGGACCTCATGCTCTTTCGTTTTCTTGTCTGCTCTTCCCTTACTTCTCACCCTACCTCGCCTTTTCCCACTCCCTCTGCATGGCAGGAAGAGCTGGTTCAGTCACGAGAGTCATTGGAGGAGCTCAAGGCCATGGTGGCTTCCCTGCAGGCGTCACTGCTGCTTGCTGCTGCCAACGGTCCTTCCTCTGCCTGCCCCCACTGCTCACATTGCCCTCATTGCCCTCATCCTGATGCCACCCACAAGCCCACCATGCCCACTGCCGGCACCACCAGCAGCGCCACCACTACCTTGAAATCTGCCCCACTTCGAGCTGCTACCTTTCAGGCCAATGGTTCTTCCCCAATGGTGTATGGTCCAGCACAATTGCCCCGTCTCGCTACATATCCTAACACTCAAGTGCAGAGAAGTATTTCTCACTCCCCCACAGCTCGTTCAGCGCACCAGCATTATATAAGATGGAACCAGACAGAGACGGACAGAGGCATGGAAGAGGCCACCATGGATGGTGTAAAAGGGGGTGTAAGAAATTCAGAGGTAGCACCAAATTTTTATGAACTGTTGGAGACACATCATGAAATTACGATGATGATTGCCTGGCCTAAGGGCTATTGAAAATTTGTCAAAATCACTGATGCTGTTGCATGCAAGTTCTTTTAGTAACAACACATACGAAACGTGTCCATACTAAGTGATTTCAGTGCGGTTGATTAGACGTTTTCCGGTTTTCCTTGTTGTCTGATCGCATTAAATGTGAGCCAATGATAGCGCTTGACTGTGACAGATCATTCCCTGCGCTGTCTCCCATAAATCGCGCGCTAGGCGCTCAACGACAGACGACCTAGGATATGTACAGTGTTAGCACATGGCAATCCTTACAGTGCAGAATCCTAGGATGAGTGAGGGGCGCGTGGGAGGGACTTGAGGTTGGATTGGGTTTGGTTGGGGGGGGGGAGCTGGTTGAGTTTTGACTGGACTGCACAGAGGGAAGAGATGATGGATTCTGACGTGGAGACTTGACCTTGTCGGACGAATAAAAACATCGGTGCAACACGTTCCTATGCGCTTCTAGATTGTTTTGCGGATGTTACCGCTCGGTGCCTCTAGGTCAACAGATGTCACAGGAAAGTTGTGGAAGTTCTGTTGCTCTACGTCCTTTCCTTTCATAAACTGGTGGACTAGGGAGTGGCCTGGATGGGGATGGAAGGCGACTATTGAGAAGAGGCTTGAGGTGAGGAAGGAGCATTTGTGGTTGAAATGCATTCTACACCTCTTCCCCGCCAATTTCAACACCTGGGCCCCGAATTGCGTCTTTGTCGTTTAGCCATCGTGTTGAATTGCTGGGAACAGAGAAGTTCCGATAGTCAGCGCGGTTTCACTCAGTTCGTAATGCTCAAAACCGTGATAAAAGCGTTTTAATCGGTTCTGAGCTTTGTAGGGAGGTTGTGAGGCCGAACCGGGCTCGGCCCAGGACCACAGGTCGAAACAAAAGGTGCTGAAATTGCCAGGAGTTGAAATTAGCGCGGAACAGGTGTAGCACCATGCGCGTCGGCAGCACGGCTTGAAGCGGCCTGAGGAGGATATCCATGTGCGCTGTGGTCGATGCTGAACATCCTAGCGCAAATCGGTCGTCGGAGCCGATTTGCCTGGGTCGTCAGAGGGGTTCGTCGGAGCCGGGCGTGACGAGACGGGCAGCTGACGCGTGTGCGGGCCCGCCAGCCTGGCCCAGGGCTGGGCCGGGAGCACGACCGCCGCCCCGAAACCCCTCTTCGAGAGTGAACAGCGCCCCACGTTACCGTGTAGGGGCGGCGATGTGGCGACCCCCTCGCGCGAGGGAAAGTTACCCTCGCGCGAAAGCAGCCCTCCCGTCCCCACTGCCCGCGAAGTCCTAGTGACCCTCGCAACCTGCCCGGACGGGCAAGCGAGGTCCATGCGAAATTCGGGTGCTCCCCTTGGGAAGCTCGACACTTTCGCGACCCGTTGCGGTGACGCCACGTGTGCGCCCGTGAATTCGCATCGAATGCATGCGACATGGGATGTTCCACCAAAATTCGAGCGGCATTCGACTTCGCACGCATCGCGGCGCAATGTTTTCGCGACCCGCTGCAAAATCGACTCGTGTCGGCTGAAACATCGCACTGAATTCGCGCATGCGAATTTGCGCCCCCTGGCCGACGGATGCTTGGGGATGTGACGTCGACCTGCTGGCTCGGCGGCAAAGTGCACTTATGCCACGCCACATGTGCGTGAGCCCTGCCGAGCCAGGCACAACGACCCCTTGGGACGATGCTCAACCGGGCCTGCGAGGCTCCGCCTCGCTTTTCTTTGTGGGAGGTGGTCTCGCCCCTCATTTTCGCCTTCTCGTTTCTCTTTCATCTTTTTTCCCAGCTCCGCGCCTTCCATACACCCACCGTTTCTTCCCTTAGCCTGTAGCATCCTCGCTTTCCCGCCTTGGCGGTCGACCCGAACGCCGCCGAAGCGGTGCCAACCTCGCAGGACTTCCCCCTGTATCTTAACATCGGTAGAGGAACTCACTGCCAAGTTCGAGGAACACGACTACGCCGTTCTCACAAACCATAGCCTAGAGTTTAACGCCCGCTGCTTGGGACTCGGCCTCAAGTAAGTGGATGTCGGCGTCTTCCACCGGCTTCCATGCTGGTCGAGCTTAGGGGTTCCATGCGACCCGTCGTTAAGGTCGACGAGTTTAGGGTTCATGTCGACCACGTCGTTGACGTCGACGTATGGTGTTAGGTCGGCGTCGGCGCTGGGTTGTGCCATAGTCGTTCGGCTCTCTTCATTACACCGCCGCGAGGGTGATCCACCATCGTGCCGTGCACCCAGTTGCTCACTTCTTCGTACTATGCATACGTGCATGCACGCATGGATGCGCGCGACGTCGGCCGACGAGCGATTGTGGTCGATAGGAGTCGGCCGGCTTCGGGCGGCGATGGGTCAGGGCAACCACACATGCTTTGCGATTGTTTTCGACGCCGACGTAGCGATTATCCAATTGTTCTCAAGGTGAGCTGGTTCGGGGTCGCCCTGGTGTGTGCTGCAACCTGTGTCGGTGACCTGTTCTGAGTGACGTCGATATGCCTTGTCTGTGCAGCATCGCACCGCTCCCAGGATCACATTGCAGCGTCGTGATCATTCTGTACCTCAGCGATTTGTTGAAGGCATCGGGGCAGAACATCAGGACATTGATCCGGCACGCTGACCCGCAAAAAATGAAGGAATGGCACCACGACGAGGCGATCCGCGTGCTGAAGTGAGCTCGACAGTGTAGTCGTTGTCGCATGCAAACTCCCAGTGGAGCGTACCCCATGCTTACCCACCGTCTGTGCCATGCGTATGCAGGTTTTTCCGGGAGGCGGTTCTGGCCGAGTTGCGGCGCGATGGTAGGAAATGGGAGTGGGCAAAGCCGTCCGAAGAAGAGGTACAGGAGAGGCTCGCCGACTGCGATCACCCCCTGTGAGATGTGAGTTCCGAACGAATTTGCCATCCTATGCTGCCGACCGCGGTGCTCATCTTCGCTCTCTGCACTGTTGTTTGCGGAAAGTACCCAACGCCTTCCGGGACGGGGACGCTGGCTCCGGTCTGCTAGCAATGAGCGCACTGCTCTGGGCTGTGAGGCGGATGGATCTCCTGACCGGCGGCCTTCGTCGGAGTGTCACCAACATAGACAAGGTCTACGTTTCGGGGTTGAAGAAGCTGCGGACGGATATGGTGGCCCGGATCAAGAAGCTAGTAGCGCACAAACGGGCGGGCCAGGTCGGAGTTGCTGCCGACGCCTGTGATGACGATGGCGAGGAGGTCCATTCGGCATTCCAAGCAGTCGGTGTCGCCCGCACCGTCGCTGATGCGCGTGGGACCACGATAGGAAAGCCGAGAGGCGGCGTTCACGAGGATGATGCGGAGGCTGGAAAGGGGGTAACTGGGACCGAGGAGAAGCATCAGGACGAGGATTGTGGTGAGGATCGTGATGAGGATTGTGAGGAGGAGGGGGGCTCGGAGGAGGATCGTGAGGAGGGTCGAGTGGAGTCGGCGTCGGAGTTGGAGTCGGAAGGGGAGGAGGAGGAAGAGGAGCAAAAGAAGCGGGAGGAGGTGGAGCATAAGGAGCAGGAGCAGGAGAAGCAGCTAGAAGGGGAGCAGGAGGAAGAGGTGGAGTTGGAGGTGGAAGAACAGGAGGAAGAACAGGAGGTGGAGTCTGTAGCTGCTGGCGCGGCGGAAACGGGTGAAAGGTCGGCGGACGTTGAGAACGAGGGTTTAGCAGAGGGGAAGGGTGCGATGTCAGCGGATCTCGAAAAGGAGAAAGAGGAGGTCGGCATGGAGGCGGCTCACGAGGGCAGTGGGAATGTCGTGGTCGGTGATCGGAAGGAAGGTATAGACGTCGAGGCCGTAGGAGAAGGGGATAACGCGACGGCCACGAAGCAGACGGGCGTGGAAGTGACTCACAGGGGGGAGCAGTCTAGGAAGAAGAAGGCGGCGAGCGGTCACCCCGGTTCCACCGCAGCTGGTCGGCAAGCGCGGTTGGACGTCGTCGAGCAGCTGCGAGCGGAAAACAGGCGACTGCGGGCCGACAATGCACGACTGGAACGACGACTCTGTGAACAGACGGGACGGGTCGACAGCTTGGCGTCGGCGTTAGCTGGGGTCCTCGACAAGCTCAAGGCTTTGACCGCTCAGGTAGCCGACACCGACCGGAACTTGGCGAAGCGCCTCGAAGACGCCACGTCGACCATGGCGACGACCATCACCGACAACCTCATCGGCAACATGGCCAACGCAGTTGAAGCTGGCAAGTCCTTTGCCGAACTTGCGGCCAAGATTCTGCGGGATCTTGACGACCCCAACGGAAGAATGGCAGTCGAACGCGCGACTGAGGTGAACGCATTGGCCGAGCACGTGACGAATGAGGTGGGTGAGGCGAGGAAGTTTTTGGAGGAGACAGTCATTAAATACATTGGCGCAGCGCAGACCAACATTGCAGCCGCCGTCGCTCCCCGCCTCGTCGTGCAACAGCCGCCGCCGCCTATCGCCCCAGCGCAGGCATTGTTGGAAGAGTTAATGAAGTCCTTCAAGGAGGATGTGCTGAAGGCGGTGACGGAGGCGACGCAGAAGTCGTTTCTCGCATCCGGATTGAAAATAATGACCAAGGTGGTCGGCACGGTGGGCCTGCTCGGCGTGGGTCGTCGCCGTCGGCGAACGACGCCGGCCGACCGCATCCAAAGGAGGCCCAGAAGCATGGTCAGAAGAGAGGGGGCGACGGAGGCGGGGGAGACGGAGAAGACGCCACGAGCGTGAAGCGTAGCAAGGGAGCTGGTGGGTCCCGCGTGGCCGGCGAAGGCAGCAAGGGAGCTGGTGGGTCCCTCGTGGTCGGCGAAGGCAGCAAGGGAGCTGGTGGGTCCCGCGTCCCCGGCGAAGGCAGCAAGGGAGCTGGGGACACTGGAGCTGGAGACAGTTCGGCAAAGCAACCTAAGACCGTGGTCGACATCCTGAAGAGGCACTGGGCTACTGTGGGATCGCCCAGCACGGGCCATGGAGAAGGGAGTGCAGCTGGGGGTCCCGCCGACCAGAACGCCGCCGTGCCAAGTGCTCCGACTTTGGTCGCCGAGAAGCCACGAGCTCAGGGGAGCGGAGGGAAGGGGTTGAGCGACAAGGAAACCCCAGCCGCCAAAACGGCCCCAGTCGTTGCCGCCAAAACTGGCAACGGGCCGAATGCCAAGATAGCGGAGGCGACAGCGGTTCCTAAACAGCCTCCTGCGGGTGCACGTCATCCGACCGGCGCGTCTCCCGATGTCTCGTCTGCCGACAAGGATAGCCGCGCGGGGAAAGGGGCGGCCGCTGTAAACGCACTCAAGGACCAGCTCAGGCTCCTTGCGGGCCCTAGGGCTGCTCAACAGCCTCCCCCCCCTGTCGCCGTGCCATCTGCCAATGTGCCACGTGTAGCGCCGGCCGTCGCCGCCCATACTCCTGCAGACCCTAAGTCTGCTTTGCTGCGCAAACAGCTCGGCACATGAGGGTCGACTGCACCAACTCAGCAGGAAGCTAGCTCTAGCGCGACGCCGACATCGGGGAATGTCGCAGCACCCACTCCCGTGGCGGTTGGTGTCGAGAAAGTGGCGGAGAAGGGTGTGCATGCCGTGCTTGCCACAGGCGGCAGCCCAGTTGAGGAGGTCGCCCCCGACGCGGATATCGCCACCATATATGCCCAACTGGATGCAGCCAAACCCCGGACACTGGCCATTTCGGACACAGCACATGCGGAGCAGCCGGCGAGTCCCGCCGGTGGTTTGGCAGACCGTAAAACGACCGTAAAACGACACATGCATGGCAGCGAGGGAAAGGCGAAGCGGAAGGGGACGGCGGGCTCTCAGAGGAAAACACAGGAGAAGTCGGAGGTGAAGGCGACGGGAAAAGGGAAGGAGAAGGCGGAGGAGATGGCGGCGGATGTGATGTCGGTGGAGAAGGGGAAAGCGGGGGAAAATCAGGAGAAGTCGGTCGGCGAGGGTACATCAACGGGGAGAAAGGGGAAGGAGAAGGCGGTCGGCGAGGGTACGTCGACAGGGAGAAAGGGGAAGGAGAAGGCGGCGGAGAAGAGGAAGGAGAAGGAGGAAGAGGAGGAGGACGACGACCAGGAGGAGGAGGAGGAGGATGATGAGGAGGAGCAGCCGTAGGAGGAAGAGGGGAAGGACAAGGCAAAGGAGAAAGAGAGGAGGGGTCATGGCATCCGTCACGACAGCTCGGGCGACGGGCAAGGGTGGGTCGGCAAGATTAAGGTGCACGGCATTAATCGGTACATCGGCAAGTCGCGCGAGAAGATGGAGCTCGCGTATGTGCACTCCATCGCGTTCGTCGTCTACGACGGTTTCGTGAGCAAGGTGCTCATGGACGAGCTCACCGGCTTGGACACTGCCGAGTTGGAGAGGTGGAGGAAGGTGTGGGAGGAGGTCAAGATCTTGCTGGCAGGGATGTGGACGGTGATGTGGGCCCGGGGTGTGCTCCTTCCAAAGACACGGTAAGTCGAATACCCTTCGGCCCCAAGTCAATAGATGGATAATGTCGCTGTCACTTATGTTCGTTCTGTTTGATGTGCTTGCATGACAGGCTCAATGATATCCTCGACAAGTATTACGAGTGCAAAAGCTCAGGCGATGCGCTCCATGACGCGCTCTGGCCGGCGATGTGGTTCCCACTCGAGGGGGTGCCAGAGGAGAAGTCGGCGGCGATGATGTCGGCCATGATAGGTCGCGTGTTCATGTGCGTTGCGTACGGGAAGACCGCTGCGAGCGCGTCGAAGGAGGGAGACGAGGAGGAGAAGACGGCGATGGCGGCATGGGCGTTAGCAACATCCGCATGCGCCGTCTGGTGCTTCGTCGAGAACGGCGACGCCAAGGTGGCCGATGCTGTGGAAGAAGGGAAGGCGGCGGCGCTTATAGTCGGTGCGAGCTACGAGACCGCCAAAGTATTCGAAACTTTCATGGTGGCGGTGCTGAACGCCGAGATCACCCGGGACCGCCCCCTGGGGGAGGTCGCCTTCAACGTCGCGCCAGCGCTGCAGAGTCTCGCCCTGCAAAGGGTCTATCTGGGGGCGATGCAGGAGTCGATGCCAAGGTGGTCGCTAGAGCGACGGTGGAGACTATGGCTTTCTGGGGAATGTGCCCCGTCGCCAGCCCGAAACTCAAAAAGAGGAGTATCGTGGTGCCGTGTGACGCGCAGATGAAGGCCGATCTTGACAACAAGGGGAGGAAGGGTCAGAGGGGGAAGCAGGGGCCTAAGGGGAAGAAGGGCAAGGATGGCACGGGGAAGAAGGGGAGGAAGGGAAAGGACAGCACGACAGTGTAGTCGGCGTTCGGCTGGAGTGATAGGTGGTCTGCTTGCTAGGATTCAGTGTTGTCTTGGTCGATGTCGTTTTGTTTTGAATTTCCTCTGTCTGATCTCTTTGATGCTAGTGTAGTTTTTTGTGTGCGTGATTGTCGACTTTACGTAGGATGTGAGACAAACCATTCAACAACTAGATGAGCCAGAGCACTATGCGTCCATGCACCCCGGCCTTTTGCCAACCAACTTTTGCGTGGCGTGATGTTCATATGTCGGTGTCCAAATGCATTTCGGTGTAGGCCGTACGTGTTGTGTGGGCGACGCCGCCCGGTTGCAATGTGAGAAGCTCACAATCATGCTACATGTGGTTGATTAAGCAATGTCAAAATGGTCATTTAAGTCGACAACATGCAAAACATGCAAAACCCTACAGTCACATCCCACAGTAACATGTTGCCGACAGCATTTACGCGGTCTTCTTGCGCTTGGTCGACGTCTTGGTCGGAGGCAGCTGCCCAGCGTCCTCTCGGGCCATGTCGGCCAACGTCATCTTCATCTGCTCCTTCCAGGTGTCAGGGAACAGGTCGGCGACCCACTGTTCTGGCTTCAGGCCGCGAGCCACGAACGCACAGGCAACACGAAGCTTGGAAACTTCCCTCTTGCCGAGCCCCTTGACGCCCTTACCCGGCTGGGAGTACGTCGCTACGGCGTCAGCGTTGAGCACCGTGAGGGCATCCGAGAAGGTCCCAATGCCAGGCATCGCTATCTTGTTAAGCGATGCGACGACGGCTTCTGTGTCGGCCTCGCCGTCGCTCCGGCAAAGATGGCGCACTACATCAATGACCTTCATCATGCGGCGCACCCTCTTCGCGAGTGCTTCTTGTGTCGCGACTTGATCGATGGCTCAACTCGGGCTGAATGAGGGTCGGGTCTTGGCACTTTTTTATTGTCTCGGTGTCGAGCTTCTCGACCCTCTTTGCCCAGTGCTGGAAGAGGAGAATTCTGCAGAGCTTGGAATATTGGACGTACGGATGCCAAGGGGTGCGGACGAGTTTCACAGTGAGGTCTTCGGCGACAATGCGGCGCATGATCTGGAGGGTGCGCCAGAAATGCACGGCAGCAAAGTCGGCCTCAGACCCCATTTTTGCGAGTTCTTTCGCTTGCAATTTGACAACAGAAGCGGGTGATTACAGTCGGCCAGTTGGACGATACTAGGTCTAAACCCTAAACCCGGCATCGATTAAAATACCTTCTTAACCAGGTCGTCAACGCCCGGGAAGATGTGCTCGGCGATGAGCGCCAGGAGTTCGTCGCCGGGTTCCACCCTGTTGCGACCCAAGAAGTAGTCCTATTTGGCACCTGAATAGCCGGCCTTCTTCATCACCACGCTGACGAGAATGGCGGTGATGTAAGCTCGAGTCATCTTGTTGATCGCCCAGTGACCCAGCTCGGCTATCTCGGCGCGAGATGTACCGTCGATGGCCAGCTCCTGCGCCCCGCCTGCTCGAGCGGCATGGACGTTCCGCTTGCAGAGCACACCGTTCGTCTTCCACATCTGCCTCGTCCATCGCTGGTGGCTGGCAGCAGGGATTTCCATTTGCTCCTCGTCATTGCGGGCAAAGAACATGTGCTTCTTGTACCAGCGCTCGCGCGTGCTGGTGTCCACCGGCGGGATGAGGTCGACGCCGTGAAACTGACGGATCTGGTCGAGGATGAAGTGCATCCACAGGCCGGTCTCGCCGACGGCGCACAACTCTGCTTCGAGGTGCCGCGCCGCGTAGCTCTGCTGAAGACACGCATCCTTGGACGTCTTCGAATTCCGCGCGGCGATCACCATGACGACCGGCTGGTTTTCCAGGTTCACCAACGAGGTGCTAGCCAGACGGTACAACAAGATGTCGGGGAGTGTGATTTCGCGGATGTTGGCCCTGCGCAGGAGACTGTGGTGGGAGAGTAGCGTGAGCACCTTGACGAGAAGAAACCTCCACAGCGTCTGCGAAGGAGTGGTTGCCCGTGGGTTCCACGCCGACGCCTCCCAGGTTGGCAGCACCCTCTGGCGGAACTGTTCGGCGGTGTATGTGTCGCCGATGGTACCGCGTCGACGGTCCGCGCAATTCCTGTCGACGAAGCAATAAGAAGAGATGAGTCTTACATCGTCGACCACAAATCAAAGGAGACAGAGCTCGGGTGTGTATGCCAACTTACTTGACGTCGTTCTGATTTTTTGTGCGGACCATGACCCGCACCTCCGACCGGACCACCGAGATTTCCCGCATGATGCCCAACTCCTTCTCCTTGTAGAGAGTCGCCTCCACCCTCGCCGCCATCTGGCAGGCCTTGATGCGGCCGAGGATCATGTGCACTGTGTTCGATTTCACCGGCGCGTTCGTCTCGTCGTCGATCTTGTACTCCCGCCTTAAGAACTTGATGTAGGCGCGAAGTCGCGTCTCAGTGATGCGCAGGCCTTGTAGCCAGATGTACTTACGCCGGACCACCTTCTCGTTGTCCCAATCCTTGCTCTTATTGTAGTGGATCCAGTGTCCGATTTCATTGACGTGCCTCGTTCTTTCCTCACCCGGAAGCTTGTCGCGTATTTCCTTCAGCATCTTCGCTGCCCACCTCTTGTAGTGGTAAATCCAAGAGGTGTACTGCTTGAACGTGCTCTTAGCCTCCAGGGTTTTCAGGTGGCGCATTGCCTCCATCACGAGTACGTTGACGCACGCGTAGACCATATCTTCCTCGACGAAGTTGGCCGCCTTCTACTGTTCTCGTGGCACCGCCATGTTTAACAGGTCCTCAAGCTCGCCTCGTCCAACAGATCCTCTATGAACGCACGTTACTGTCAGAGGTCCACTGGTGATCCCCGATTGATCCTAGGGAAGGGTTACAGGCATGTTGGCCTGGAGGGTTATGGGCGCACTGACCCGCTACTTAAACAAGCCCTTTTATCCCAATGGTCTAGTGGTTGGGATTCTGTCAGTTCCCCCCCGAGCTTCTCTTCCAACGTGCGCGGACCTGCGCCACGTCGAGGCCGTGGGTCGTCTTCGTCGTCATCGTCGCTGCACGATGAGGCGTCGTCACTTTCCTCATCCTGATCGCCCGCTCCGTCCGGCACCGACGACGGCCCGGCCTCCCCAGCATTCGTCGGCACCGACGACGTCCCGGCCTCCCCAACATTTGTCGGTGCCGTCGATTTGCGTGGTTTCGTAAATTCCCCTATGGGCGCGGACGGAATGTCCTTGGTGAACTCTCCTACCGGGATTTGTGACAGTGCGTTGATATCGTAAAGCAGCGGTAGGGTCGACGATGGATTACTGGTCGTTGTACACTTCACCGGTCGGCGGTCTCCCCCATGGCTCGCAGGGGTAGGACCGTCTGTCATGTCGACGTCGGCCATGTGATTTCAGGCGTTTGATCTACAGTGAACGTGGATCGCGGTGGCCCAATGCTGGCGGTACTGAGTCCCGTTGGCAGTGTTTATCCGATGCGCTTCTCGGGCGTCACGCTCGAATTCTCTCGCAAGTGCCTATAACGCGGCGGTGATTTGCGCTCGTGCTAATTGAGTTTAATGTCGGCATGTCGGCGACGTGTTGGTTGGAACGCGGCTGTGTCGCAATAAGCTGTCCCCTGGCCATGCGACGACGACATAGGCACTGGTGATGGGATATCGGCGTGGTGATGCCGAATACTACCGGGTTGTCTCCTAAACAAGTATCGGCGACGTCTCTCTATCAATCTCTCTGGCCACTGTGTCGATGCCGACTACGACGTCTGGTCGGCGGAGCGACTGTCCTGAACGGGAGGAGTGCGAAAGGGAGTAGAAAAAAAACTAAGCGCCAGATAGCGGGTGGAACAAACCCGGAGTGGAAGGCAGAATGAGCGACCTTCACTGGGACCCCGGATGGGTATGGTTGTGGGCGACTCCGCACCTGCCGCTCTCCACGAAACTCCCTGTGCAGGATGCCGCTATGCATGTACCCTCGTGCGGCGGCGCCTTGTCCGACGTGCCACCAGCCATGCATGGCTGGTTTCCGAAAAGCGCTTCGCCCAGGAGGCGACTTTCATGGCTGTTACACGCTGGGTCATGCGTGCGCTACGTGGCGTGGTCCCGATTTTGGTGCATCGCTCCCTGAAAACCTTGTTGGAGACTCCCCGCGCAGTAGTTCGAGGGCGTTAGGCACTGACGCGTGGCACCCCAAAGATGCTCGTGTGGTCACGCCGATATTCCCGGCGCCTGAAGATCCGTTGCACCTAGCCTGAGTAGGGAACGGTCGTGATGTTGCCTTGGGCATCGGGGCAACCGTCGGATGGAGGCCACGTGGTACGCGCCGACCTGGCCCTTACCCGGCGCAAATATTTCCCACGCAAAGCACCCCGTCTCAACTGGTGCCGCGTGGGCTCGTCGTGGCAGACCTCGGTGGCCCCGCCAACTTTTGGGCGATCTCGGACGTCCATTCCTCGTGTGGCGATAATCGCGGCCCGACGTGACGAGCTAGGTTTTTGCCACGCGCTGAGAGATACTTCTCGGGTTTGTCTCAGCGGAAATCTAGGTCGTTAAGTCGTCGTCAATCCCGAGGGCTCGCTGGCACTGAGCCCAGCCTGTTCGCCCGAGCTTTCCATGTTGAGAGAACGAGCAGAGTTAGGAGCCATAGCTAGGGAAGGCCTAGCTAGGCAAGAGAGAATAGGCAAAAGAAGAGGGGTTTTCACTAGCAGCAATTGGGATACATATAGCAAACCCTAGTTGGGTTGTACCCGCTATAGAGCACCCCACTACAGGCTAGACAATAACATTCTGACACACCCCCATAGCCTAAGTGGGGTGTAATCAGCACAATGAGCAGGCATAGAGCAAGAGGTCACAATAGTAAGCAAAGCTAGAGTTAATCACAGTGGGAAGGTGAGGAGGAGGAGGAACTGTGGAGGGAGAGAAGATGGGAGGCAACGACTGAAGCTGCAGAGGCACGTGCACAAGAGCGGCTGACTCAGAGGCTACCAAAGCAAGGGCGATGGACCACTGGAGTGACTGGCTCCGCGGCTATAGATGAGCGGCAGGAGCAACGAACCCACTGGCGACTGGTGCAACAGGCTCACTGGCTACCGAAGCAAGGGCGACGGACTACAGGCGCTGCAGGCGACACGATAGCTACCTTCACACAACCTCCTCCAGCTGCCCCACACCCTCGACACACACCCCCTGCTCAAACCCTAGCTCCACTCCCACGGCACCCCCCTTAAACCCTAAACCCCAGGCTCCCACACATCCACCCCCCTCAGCGACAGCTGCAGCAATGGGAGACGAAGGAGTAGGAGGAGTAGGGGACGGCGCACACAACCGACACCCCCACAACCGCCACCCCCACACTCCTCACCCCAAACCCTAAATCGGGTGGGACAAGGCAAGAGCGCGGGGGACGGCGAGGGGGACGGCGCGCGACCCCAGGGCGCCACCACGAGGCAGCAAGGGGCCGCGTGCGGCTCCCCAGGGCGACGCGAAGGGCGGCAACGGGGCCGGAAAGGGCGGCGACGGGGCCGTAGAGGGCGGTGACGGGGCTGTTGCGGGCGGCGACGGGGCCGTTGCGGGCGGCGACGGGGCCGCTGCGGGCGGCGACTGGGCCGTTGCGGGCGGCGACGGGGCCGCTGCGGGCGGCGACTGGGACGCTAAGGGTGGCGACGAGGCCGCGAAGGGCGGCGACGGGGCCGTTGCGGGCGGCGACGGGGCCGTTGTGGGCGGCGACGGGGCCGCTAAGGGCGGTGACTTGGCCACTGCGGGCGGCGACGGGGCCGCTAAGGGCGGCGACGGGGCCGCGAAGGGCGGCGACGGGGCCGCTGCGGGCGGCGACGGGGCCGCTAAGGGCGGCGACGGGGCCGCTAAGGGCGGCGACGGGGCCGTAGAGAGCGGCGACGGGGCCGTAGAGGGCGGCGACGGGGCCGCGAAGGGCGGCAACGGGGCCGCAAGGGGCAAACCGCCGCGCGCACGCCACGGGGCGTGCGACAGATCGAGTAGCAGCGGAAGCAGGTGGGCCCACAGGCCAGGAGCGTACCCGCTCTGATAGCATGTTGAGAGAACGAGCAGAGTTAGGAGCCATAGCTAGCGAAGGCCTAGCTAGGCAAGAGAGAATAGGCAAAAGAAGAGGGGTTTTCACTAGCAGTAGTTGGGATACATATAGCAAACCCTAGTTGGGTTGTACCCGCTATAGAGCACCCCACTACAGGCTAGACAATAACATTCTGACATTCCACGCGGAGGTCGTCGGTTGTTCGTCAAGTCCAAGGGGGGGCGTTGTCCTTTCCCTGCCGTGGAATTGGGCGGCGTTTTTTGTCCGCTGAGATATACCATGCTCTTTCTTGTGTCGTGGCGCCTTGCGCCACTCATTGCTTTGCCTTGCAAGCTTCCTCCTGCGCACATGCCACCACTGCAGCCAGCAATCCGTCCCCACTGTGACATGGCCAAACGTCATCTTCTTTGTGTCCAACCTGTGGACTACGCACCGACAGATGACAATCTGAGAAATCAGGAATCATCATCAGCAGTGCTAGGCGAAGATATCCACCCCGCGGCGGGTAAGAAGAATCAAGATGGCCATGGCCATGGCTGTGGCTATGGTTCGCAGGGTGTTGCTATCCTGCAGCGCGGAGCAGATGTGCTGCGGCTTACCCTTGCCTCGCTCCCAATCAGCAGACCCACACGGCCAGAGCGTCAGACGAAGCAGCAGCGTTTGCAGTCGTGGATCGCGGAGCACGTGCACCAATTGCCATCTAAAGGAGCCGAAATCATCCTATCCGTCGGAACTAGTAGTGGTACCTCCGTATTCGTCGCACGATCGACAATTCCACAGCCTCTCCCACAGCCTCTCCCACGCCCTTCCTGTTTCTCCAGCCGCAGTTCGAGAGTGTGTAGCGAATTCTGGACGGCTAGTAGTGTCGCACGCTGTAGCAACCGCGCCGCGCTTTTATCCAGCGGTGGGTACAACCAGCACGTCGGGACTGACGCGCGGCGTCGGGAAAACCCGATACTGTCGCAAGCGGAAAGCGCAGATTCACGATATCGCAGCCCCATCCGCGCTTTTGCGAAAGCCTAACTTACATAGCAGCCTAAGGTCAGCCTTAGGAGACTGTACTATATGCGAATTCCAGTCATCAGATGTGCCGTTGCGTAAAATACTGAGCGGCAGACTCGTCGCGACGGCAATACCACTCAGTGGTTCTCTCAATATACAATAGTCAATCCGTTTCCTCAGTGACAAGCTAGCAAGGTAAAAGGCAGCATGGCGGAAGCGGTGGTGATACTGCGCAACCGGAAGAAGGAGGAGGAGGAGTAGGGGGGCGCGCTGACCCGCTCCGTGTTGTAGAGGACTCTCCTCTACTTTGCAGGAACTGGGAATTGAACTAAATGATAGGGCACACTGCTGGCTTTCCAACGATCCATCAAACACGCGATTTGACTCAGTAACGAGAGAGTTATAGGCGTTTATGTGCTTGCTAGTGCTCTTAGGACAAAGGATAGGAGCTCTCTGGATTTTGTAGTCGAGTGTATCACATACAAAGTGATTCTCGATTTCAGTATGATACATGCATACAAAGCGCACACATTTATAGCTACTCAATTTGTCGAATCGCACAAGTAACATCGAGTTGCTACATGAAGTGTCGCGAATGTTCCGTGGGTAACATTTCGATGTGGTGAAATTCGTCAACCGAATTTCACACATTCGAATGTTCCTTTGGTTTCAAA